GACCACCGCCGAAAGAATCCTAGAGGCAGTGCCGCCCATGGTCAGCGCCGGCGGCAGGTTCGAGAAGAGCCCCACCGCAGCGCCGTCCGTGGTCAGCGCGGGCGGCCGGTCCGGGGAGGTCCACACCGGCCAGTACAACATCTACCAACCGCCAGCCTCTCTCCGCGGCTGGCCCGACGACCGCGACACGGAGGCCGCCCTCCGCCACCTCGGCCTCCTCGATTTCGCGCGGCTCCAGCTCCCGGACGGTATCCCCCGACACGACCTCGTCTCCGATCTGGTCGCCTCCTACCACCGGGAGAACTGCCGCGGCTACGCCTACCTCTGGGGCGTCCGCGTCAGTGTCGACCGCAAGTCCTTCCTCAGCGCGGCAGCCCTCCAAGCCACGGCGGAGCACAAGGTGCTCCCTCCACGGCGCAGGACGAGGAGCACAAGGAGCTCGTCCACGGTTACCTCCGCCGCCTTGCAGTTCATGGAAATCTGGATCCTCCCGCAGTTCCAGGGCAGGGACATGTTGCCGTCGAATGTGTCGGCTGCGATGCGGGAGGTGAAGGCGGAGTTGGCGCATAACGTCGACTGGGGTGAGCTGATCTGGGACCTAGTACAGAATGAGATTCTTGAATTGCCAAAGAGGGATGATAAAAATTCTTACTTTGGGTTGCATCTTCTGAGACTCATTTGGGTAAACCATCCAGAGGTGTTCGGGTTGAAGGACAGGATGGAAAGACTCGCTCGGGTGCAACTTGACAGAATCTTACCGCAGGTAGTCGACAATGTGACGGAAAGAATCCGGTTGGAGTTTACGAGACCCAAGAAGATTACGAGATTCTTCCGGGTGCAGCAGCCGCAGGTGGTCAACAACCTGTCCAAACCGGTGGAGTCTGGGGATGAAGCTGCAGCAGTTGTTCAAGTTCAACAGCAATCCATGGTGAGGGATGAAGCTGCAGCAGCTGTTCAAGTTCAACAACAATCCATGGTGGGGGATGAAGCTGCAGCAGTTGTTCAAGTTCAACAGCAATCCATGGTGGTACAGAGCTCACCGCTGACCATAGTGCTGAATAATGATGCAAGCGTGGGCAAGAGGAAAAGCTTGGAGGCTGCCCTGGCAGAGCCTAGGCACGCTGATACACACAAGCATGGAGTGAAGCATGTGAAGCAGCAGTTTCAGCAGGGCAATCAACAGAAGCAGACCTGTAACAGTAACAAGTGTAGTGTACCCAGTGGATCCATAGTGCTGAATGATGATGCGAGGGACAGCATGGAAGCTGCCCTGGTGGAGCCTGGGCAGGCTGATGCACACAGGCATGTGAAGCAGCAGTTTCAGCAGGGCAATCGACAGAAGTGGACCCGTAAGAGGAGCAAGCGTAGTGTACCCAGTGGATCAAGAATCTGCTCCGCAAATAGTTCTTGTGACGTTATAGGAATAAAGAGTGAGTTTAAACATGCGCGACTGGAGAACCAACCTCCAAAGGAGTTGCTTGAAGCAGAGATGTTTATCCAGGCAATAAAGGTGCTGAACGAGACACTGTCTGCAGAAACCATCGTACATATCTTGCAGGACTCTCCACCGTCTGGCTCCCCGCTGAAGCGGAGTGGTGCAGTAGTGGAGGTCACTAAATAGGAGAATGGTTCTCACGCTCGAATGTGATCCTGGTGGGATCAGTAACAGGATGTAGATTTGCTCTCATCTCATGAGCGTTTGGCTTTTGGAGCTCGGCATTTGGTGGTCTGTAGCGAGAAGGATTATCTGGCTGTGCTAGCTCTTGGTTGGCTAGTCTTGGAGAACTGGAATCATTGGTTCATCTTCTGGATGTGCTGCCCTAAAACCTGGAGCCAGAGTACTTCATATGAAAAAAATGATATATTTGTTGGATGTTTGTACTTTTTTGGGAGTAGTCAGCATGTGGATGCTCGGGATTTCCAGGTCTGATCCTTATCTTGATTCCTGTTACTTATTAGTACTATTCGTAGAGCATGTCATTTCGGATGATGCTTGTGTCTTGAACACCCTGTGATTATTCTGAACTGTGAAGTATCTATGCTATTTTAGTTTTTCTACTGATTGTCCCTGCTGTCAAAATTTACTTTCGTGTTGCATCATGAAGAAGCAAGAATGACAGTGTTTATGATGCGATATTCAGTCTTGGTTTGTTGAAATATGACATTTCTGTTGTGGAAGAATGACAATGTTTATGATACGATATTCAGTCTTGGTTTGTTAGAAATATGGCATTTCTGTTGTTGAAGAATGACAGTGTTTATGATGCGATGCTTGGTTTGTTAGAAATATGGCATTTCTGTTCTTCAAGTGGTTAGTTTGGATCTTTTCTTCCATAATATGTTTATATGTCGTTGCTGAGAAGTAATACGGTGGTATAATAATATTTTAATTACTGCTAGAAGTTCGTATCATGGTGCGATCAGTATTGTTCGTACTAATGAAATAAAGCATAAAAATATGATAACATTTATCATAAATCTAGCAATAGTATAATTTACCATAAATCTAGCAATAGTATGACCAATGTAAATGCCTATGTGTTTATAATGTAATGATGGTCTAAAGATAACTTTGACTAAATGCCTTCTAGAAAGTTGTGTATTTGTGAATGTAGATAGTAATTACTCGTCATGAATTATCTCCTAATAAAATATTGGCCTAGCTGGAGTAGCTCATCATGAATTAGTTTGCAGTCTGCAGGAAAATTTAGCAGTTAGTTAATGCTCGTAAACTCCGCCGCCATGACTGGCTACAAGCTAGCATTACAAGTGTTCTCCTGCTATATATTTAATGGAAACCAAAAGACATTCATCATCATCCATCTTGCAGGTCCATCTCCATCTCCCCTCCTGGTCCGCGTGCTTCATCGTCGTTCTTGTCGTTGCTTCTGCAGCCAACTATGACTGTAGTATGCCATTGGGGGCGGTGACTTCGCACTGCAAGGATGAACTCACATGGGTTATATCTACCGGAGAAGAGCCTTATTGGTTTTGAATGCGGCCAGCAACTTAAATGTGTCAACGAAGCAACATGTTCTTCCCTGCTTCACATTGCTCTATTTTCATATACATGAAGATGCAATTTGTCACTCAGAATGTGATCCTGGTGGGACCTTGTAATAGGATATCTACTGTAGTAGTAGATTTGTTCTTGTCTGGTTAGCGTTTAGCTTTTGGAGCTCTGCTTTTGTTGGTCTGCAGTTTTTCATTGTCTCGGGTGTCAGAAAATTTGGATGCTTGGTTCGTCTTTTGGATGCTCTGCCATAAAATCTGGAGCCAGAGTACATCATATGAACAAAAAATGTTTTATAATTTCTTGGGAGTAGATAGCATGTGGGTGCTCGTGATTTCCAGGTCTGATCCAAAAGCCAAAGGCCGAGCATGTCATTTAGGATGGTACTTATGATTGTTTTGCACATCCTATGAATATTCTGAACATCCCCGATGTCCAAATTTACTGTAAAGATGAGAGATTCAATCTTGGCATGGTCTTTGAGTGAATTTTGTTAAAGACATGTTATTTGTTGTTTTAAAATCCATATGCAAATCTTGCACATCCTGTGAATATTCTGAACTATGAAGTATGTATGCTATTACGAAAGGGCTCAGATGCTCGCTATATCTACGCTGTCCGTTGGCTCTAAGATTCGTTCACGTCAGAGTATTGCCATATGTATACGCGATGGTATTTCAAATTTGGGGGACACAGCTGGCCCACATCTGTTTGTTTCTCCCTCCGTCTCATAATATGAGAACGTTTAGATACAGGCTTCGGACCATCATCTACATGTAGTTTGGTTGCCCGCATTAAGCCCAACTCGCATATTCTTCATATCGTAAATTGCACTAAGCCCAGCCTGTATCTGAAAAAACGGTCAATTTAAATGTTCCTAGTGAGCCAGGTTGAGGGCGCTTTAAGTTTCATGCTAACCGGTTTCTACGTGCGAGCCAGACAACCAAACAATATGCTACTTAGCCCGCTAGAACCTGGTTGGCCTTAATGCAGGCTACCAAACGCGCCCTTAATACCTTGGCTGTGTTTCCGATGCCTCCCACCTGCCAAGCTGTCTTCTTCTACAAACATCTCACTGAATTATAGTTGGGCGTCCGGCTCTTCATCACCAAGCCTAGTAGATCCAAAGCTATGTCTGCGCCATTATTCTAAATCCAAAGCTTTTCCCGCTCAACGGTTCCGAAATTCAAGATGCAAACTCAAGTTCAGGTGTACAGATGGTTCACGGCTTCACGCCATGTTTCAACTATTTTCTGAACGCGGTCTGGTTTGCGATCTGAATGCAGTCAGGAAACCTCAGCGATATTTAGTCGACAGTGTTACCATGTTTGGTCAGCCAACCCAAGACGCATATCAATTCATCTGCAAAAGCTAAGATGTGGCAGCACCTCCGTAAACATAAAACATTCGACAGGATCTCAAGATTAATTGGAAAACAGATGGCAGTTCATCGTTCTCAGGAAAAATCGCTATAACATCACGACAGCACAGCTCACGAAGTACGGTGACAATCAGTACAACTTGTAATGGTGAAATAACAGCTTCTGTGTGACAAGAATAATTATCTAAGTGTGAAGTTGCTAGTGCATACAAAATACTAGGATTCGGAGTATGCAAAGTCAGTACAAAAGCACAAAAGTACAGAATGAAGGTGAAAAGAAAGCAAACCCGACAAAAATGAATGCAAAGAAATTGGGTCATTTGCTCCTACTTTGTGTTAACAACTTTCAAAATGCACTGAAAAACAGTACAACCCAGTGGCTTTTGATTTAGATTATTGGAAGTCACAAAGGAAGAAGAAAAGGCAGATTTTCTCCAGACTTGAAATCATATCTGATTCTGATAATAGTGCAATTATCCTTTTGGCTTTTGGCTACACATCGTAAAATAGTTGTCTAATTTACTGTCACTTTAGAAATCCATTTAAATGTACATCATACCACTATACATCAGTTTCAGAAAATAAGGAGGATTACTAAAATATAGATTAGTCAAAGAATCGAAGCTTGTAAAAGTCGTATGCTTCATCCAAAAGAATCGAAGTCCAATGGCAATAGTCGAAGGCTTCACTCAAACAATCAAAGCTTGTTCCTAGTGCAGGGACAATCACATCATCTCCTGGATTTTCCGCAAAACCATGAATTGCCTTCTCCAGTGCACTAGTGCGATTACGACAAGGTGACCTTCCTGGTGCGGCAGCACCGATCCTCACTGTGCACGCAAGACCAGATATGCCATCAGCTACAGATATAAATATATGACAGCAGCAGCAGCCCATTTTTAGTTACGGAGTCACAATCACACAAAACCCGCTTCATGAACTAAGCTTTCAAAAATAAAAATACTGCCGCATTCCAGCTAACATTTTTTCAAGTCTTTTATCAGTGAACATGAACTACATACCTCATTATATTGTATTATATCAGACTAGTAGTTTCAATACAGCACACAACAAAATAGAAATCCCAATTATGGACAGCTTGCCACATTCTCTGTCAAATTTGTACTTCAGCCCACACTAGCTCCACTACTCATATCAGCAACCACTGTCGATATAATTATGGATGTTAATTCATAGACAGCCTTAAGTTGCTAAAGCTTATTAAACTGTGACCATGTATTTAGGATACTGAATATGTAATCCAAATTTTAACCTGTGCAATGTCATATTTTTTAAAGTACAGTGCAAAATTTTGCAACTGCATTATGTATGCCATCCACTGTCTAATGACACTCAACCTGAGTTCACCAAGGTTCATATGTTTGCTACAGTTCATAAATTGTACATATCCACATCTTAATTCTTACGTACATAAGTGCTAAGCTAGTCCCAGGGTAATCAAAATTCCAAGATGTGCAACCACAACTATTCTGCTGGTCCACATGTAATGGCAATTGCATTTCGTGTTTCTTCAGACTGCACAGCTGAATAAATTCATACCTTCGAGTCCATGCTGGGGCTTTTGGGTCGATCTAACAAATCGAGTAATCGACTGCTCGGATGCTTGCAGTAAACCATCGATTTCAGTATCGACCACGCCATCAGCCGCACAGATCTGGCCTTCCGCACTCATTGCCGCCATGGGCGGCAGCGGATCTGCAACGGTTGCGACCACTGGCAGTGTAGTGGCTCCATGAGTACGTTGCCATCGTTAACGTCCTCCAGCACGGTGGTTCTGCTTAGAAAAAAAATTAAAATTGAAGACAGAACTCAGGCAAAAGCTATACCTAATCCGAGGCCAATAGAATACAAGCACCGCAGAATCATACCTTTTAATCGATTGCATCAGAAATTCCATCTTCTGCACTAGCCTTTGTTTCCTTCGAATAGAAGCTCCGCCGCCCATCTAGCCTCACTCGATAATAGGAAAAACCAGGAGCCGGAGGTAGGAGAGAACTCTGCCCAGCAACCCATCCCTCCATTTACTCAGCTACTGAGGCCCTAAACGAGCCACGGATCAGGACGGGAATGACGGCATGAGCCACGGCCCTGTTTTGAATCGTTAAAGGAGGTGCTCCTTCTGCATTTCCCCCTTTTCCAGTGAACAACAGCCTGACACAGAAAGTAATGCACCGCATCCCAATGCTATGACGAACCGCCCAGATAAAGAGCACATATGTGCTCGAGTTCAGAAACAACGCTTCCATGCTATTATAGCTTTTCTACTGAACATCCCTGCTATCCAAATTTACTGTAAAGATGAGAGATCCCTGCTGTCCAAATTTACTGTAAAGATGAGAGATCCAATCTTGGGCATGGTCTTTGAGTGAATAATTTTGTTAAAGACATGTTATTTCTTGTTTTAAAATCCAGATGCTTTGCGTCTAAAAATCCAGGATGGATGAGGTATGAAACAAACTGGCATATGGTACAATGTAACTTGGGTTGAAAAGTGTAGAATCAGCAGGAACTTGAGTTGAAAGTGTACAATCAGCAGGAATTAATCATCAAATTAGCCGGACTGTTTTGCTAGTTGTCAATCAAATTAAAACTAGGAAATTCCCAGTGAACCAAGCAGATGCAATTGAAGATTCCATGGTCCAGATCCCACTGAAGAAGCACCAACCAGAAGAACATTCACTTTTAAAAAATCAATTCCACAAGAAAGGTAGGCAAACTGTTTGTTCAAGTTCCCAGTTCAGAACCTTCAACTCTGCATTGTTTTAGTCCATAGCAACAATTCCTAACCTCTCTCCGCATATCGAGTCATCAACATTATCCAACTAGAGTCAGGAGGCCAGTACTGTTAAGTGTCAACAGAGAGCCAGCAAATTAGGCGTGATCTTTCTTTATCAACAAATTCCAAAGTTTGCGTATACCAAAAACTAATTTTGGATAATGTTATCTAAAATAGTAATACATCATAAATCACCTATCATATCATTTGTTTTCCACCAAATCTTATTTCCGTTGTCTAGCATAACAAATCATCGATCCTCTGATCATGAAACATGCCCAACCAAAATATAAAAAGCAGAAAGGTAATATATTCTGGGTGCATGATGGAAGGGCAACATGAGCTAAATTTTATTGTCTCATTTTAAAGTGTAAAGCATGGATTGCAGAATTGCACACGGAAATTAAGGAGACGTATGTCCAGAGCAGGGTCCGCACGGACCTTCGGATCAGCACCCCCGAGCATCAAATAGAGGCAGAAAGAAATCCATGGTATGTCAAAAAATTCAGTTGCTAGTTTGCTACTACACCATGCTTCATCACACACTTACTACCACACATCAAATGTCTGCGGTACAATTAAGATAGTTAAACTGGCAGATCAGGTGGAAAGCATGGTGCAAATTTGAATTTTTGGAACAATCATTTGGTTGTATAGTTTACTTGTAGTAGTTCATAGATTATAATATGTCAATTTTGAGGTAAGGTGACCACATGGCAAGCAAGATGTCATGGAGCAAATTTCAGTGGACAACCGACGAAGTAGAGTGCTAATTGGGTGTGTACTCAATCGAGCATCCAGAGCTTTGCCTAGTTTCTTTCCCTGTCAGACATCACTTCCCTTCTCCTTGGAGGCTGAAGGGCCCTATTGAAGGAAGTGTCGAATGTTAAGCTTCATGGCATTTTGGCAAGGCCAACAACATTAACTTTTGGTTCATTAGCAGTACCTTAAACTGATCTACAAATGTGGTACATAGAATGAGTAAGGAGTGAGCTCGCCAGGTTATGTGGCATGAGTGTGGTGAGATGAGATGATAATGCTCTCCAGGGAAAAAAGTGATGCCAAAATAATTCAGTTCATTGGAGCTAAATTTGAGAGAAAGATGAAATACTTGAGTAAAAAACTAAGCACAAAATCTTCCCCTCAATCTGCTTGGATTTTGTCAAAGACATAACAGGCATAGATAAAACAAAAATCCACAGAAATAAAGCTGAGAATTTATGGGGATCAAATCAAGAGGAGGGAGGGAGGGAGAGATGTGGGTACCTGCGAGGCTGCAACAGGGCATACGTTCCATGTGAGCAGCTGCAACGGCCGCCTACGCTGCTCGCTGCGCTTACAGAAGTTAAACTAGCAGCATTTTGTTGCGGCGCAACTTGACATTTGAACTCGAATTACAATAGAACATAGCAGGTCTACGAAAATGAACAAATGTACATGTGGGCAAGAGAAACAGAGCAAGAGACAAGGAGAACATAACACTAACAGAACATATCACAAATGAGCAAATGTACCACTTGGGCTAGAGGATGTGCTTCACAAGGAACTTCACGCGCCGCCATGATGACCTGGCCGCCGCTAATGAGTCCATCACTACTCGTAGCCCCGCCTTGACCACCGCCAAGGCCTTGAGTGCAGCTGCCACCCACGCCGCCGCTAGTCAGAAGGAACTTCGCACGTCGCCATGATGACCTGGCTGCCGCTAACGAGTCCATCACTACTCTTA